GGAATTATTAATTAAAATTTAGAAAAATGGGATACAAAGTCGGTCAAGCGATATTAAAATTACCTAACGTATGTAAGATCAAGGAAAATCCATACGATGCATTGCAAGGCATTATTATTCTTTCGTAATTGAATAATTAATCACGCGAACTAAAATCCTGCGACAAAGCAAATTTAATATAGTTTTTAAATTTCCACGTATCACCTGTTTCAGGAAATTTCACAAACTGTAATGTCGTTAGAGACATCTGGCGACACCGCGCTTAGCACGAAGTACCTGGATGGAATTTAATTCTTTAAAAATAATTTTTTCGTACTTAAAACGAATAGTATAGTCGAAAGCTTATATTGATATCTTTATTCACTTGTTCGAAAAAAATGTGTGAAAACCTATTTTCCGGTTACCTAAACCAGAATCTACCTCTCTTTAAGATTTATATCAACCAGAAGCTTCGGAAATTATCTGCGCCCGCGTTTGCATTTGGGATCAACGATCCTCAGTCGATGGAATCTCACGAACACGTTCGAGGTTTCATCTCTATATAGCTTCGATTACGAGCGCTCGCTTTGCCGTCCCTCTCGGTCATTATCAGCGAACGATTAATCACGCAGATAGCAAAAGCCCGCACCCCGATATTACAAACCCGGAAAACACGGAAAGGAGAGAGGGAGGGAAACGAGAGTCGACGAGGGGACACAGATCCAATTATACTCCCGGGATCTTCATCTTCTTCTTCCACTTCACTTCTTTCTCTTATCCGAGTTTCTTATGTACGTCTATCTTGAGAAAATATGCAGGCAACATTCGTGTCCGTGCGTGCGAAAATGGTTACGGTTTTCAGATTGGCACGAACGAACACGAGCCGCGCGCGCGCGATAATAAAGAAAAGGCGTCGACAGTTCGCCGGGACGGGACTGAGCGAGCTGCGCGAGGCCCCGTTATCTCCGGAATGCTAATTCCTGCAGGAACGGCACATGCAAGGCAGAGATAATATCGAGTCTCTACTCCCTTGATTCTCCCCGTGAGTTCCGACAGGTCCGCCGCGGTACTTCGTGACCTTCTTCTTTACCGTCTCTTACCGTCTCTCGTCCTTCCCCTTTGCCCGCGCGTCGCATAGGTCAGGAATGGTCCCGCGTAAAACCGCAATATCGCGATATCTTTTTCCACTCGGGCCGATCCGATGTCGACACGGAGAGTTTCGTTATCGTTAGCAGCAGGTCGTTGCGATACCATGAGGTGATAAAATCATGTTCCCCGCTCGCATCTCGCAAGGGAGATCGCTCTGAGTGCTTTCACACGCTCTGGTTTCGGAGTAATCGTGTGTGATCATTTGCGGATATCTCCGCGAGATTCCTCAATTATTACCGGCTATGCCGGTACGATGGAAAAAGGTAGGTTCTAACTGCACGCGGCAGTGAAATTGCGGTTGTGCGTTTGTCGTAAACGTTGAGAACAGAATTTGCCGAGAGATACCTTGTGAATCTCCTGCAAGTCGAATGTCCTCTGGTCAGAGTAGTTTCTCTGTTTTGCAAACGAGTATGTCGCCAAGTCCGAACTGTGTCTGGGCGAGCACACATGTCGGCGAAGCGAGTAAGCAACCCGTTATACCGACCGGTATGTTGATGCAACACCCTGCACAGTCGGGGATTAAAAGATTGTCCGTAATTTTTCGAGTGAGTTTGTGAATTCATCCTTCTTGTCCAACGAGAACATCCTTCCATTGGGAAACGAATTCTCTTATTAAATAAGATGGGCAGTTGACAAACTCACCCTCAAAATTATGGATGACCTTTTAGTCCCCGACTGTACAAGAAACATGAAAAAGATAGTGCGATTATGACACATTGCTCATCTAATATGTTTTGATCATTACCTCTGTGTTATCGAAATTTTTTGAGTACGTCCTTAGAATCTCTTTAACACGCGGTGCAATTGAATTATTAATACCTTACAACCATCTACATTTATTTCTGACTATTAACGCAAAGCTCTCACAATGACACATTACTGATTGACGCATCGTTTTCGCTCTTTTCTCTGACTCTGATCAATAAATAATAAATCAATAAGCTGGACAATTTTAGAATGAGTGCGTTGAAGTCATTATATTTCTCGGATATGAATACCAGCAATTGTGATATCGTCGCGCAGACATGGATTTGTAGGTTGCATTAAGGATATTGTTACAATAATCGACTGTGATTGGTCAATTTGTTTATATTTTACTGTCTGCTACCAATCCCATTGTAGATGACTCTTTATGCCACGAGTTTTGATATATATGAAGGATTCCCATGGGATAAGGTCGAATTAACGTCGACAATAAACATCACCTGAATAACTGGTGATTACGAGCTGCTACCATATTTAGACATCGATTCGTCGGAGATTGATTTGATGAAAGCGGATTTGACCTGCGCAGTTCGTAATAACGTGTGCAGCTTACTCGGCGTATCGGGTGTCAGCGGCGAGAGGTTGTAGGTGAAAAAGAATCCTAGCCGTCCGCTTTCCCTCATCTACGGCCGAGCGCGATGGGCGCGATTAAGAAAGTCCACGCTGCGTTTTCTCCGTGCGCGCGCTAATGCGGTAACTATGAGAAAACATCGATTGATCTTGCCCCCGCGGTGTGCCCGCGGCTGATGAGCGATGGCAATTTCATTATGCTTAGGTCGCGTCGTTCATTGCGTGAGATCGACGAACGTTTAGCCCGTATAGAAATTCATTTGCCCGTTCGATCATTTGTTACTACATCTTAGGTGGTCTGCGTAGTCTATTTCTCACGAAAGTGAAAGACTAAGCACCCGGGTCGAACTATTTAGCGAATTTTCACCTTACATTATTTTGGCAAATATAATTGATGGAGTTTCCGATAATGTGTCAAATATTTTGCCGAAAATGAAAAAAGTTTCTTACTGATTCTGTGAAATATTGAGATTTAGTAACAACCAACGGAAAAAAAATTCTTAAGATGTTACAAAAATATTTAAAGAGAACGAAATGGGTTATGCGGGGCCTCTCAGATTATCATTTCGGCGCTCGTTTTAATGCTTATCTATTTGTGACGGTGCGAAGATAAAGTAACACTCTTGTTGCGATTAATTATGTTTAGACTTCATGGTTCTTACGAGGCACTTAAGTATGGAACATTATTGGACGGTTTGTCCGATCTCACGGGTGGTATCACCGAAAGTATCGCGATTCGCCAGGACCCTACGGCGTGCGGACGCGCGCTTTCGAAACTCCTGGACATGACGTCCCTCATCACTTGTACAGTAAACAACAATCAGCAGCAACAGGTAGACGGCGGTCTCGCAGATATGGAATTTCACCGTTTCTTTCGGCTATCTTACGCTCACGCGCGTGTTTCTTTCTCCTAGATACGTGCCAGCACGGAGAAGCTTGCCAATGGCATACAAATGGGAATCAATTATAGGCTGTATGCGATCGAAAGGGTCAGTATATCAATAACTGTCGCATTCGGCTTGTTATTCGCACTTTCAGTTCTGATTCGGGCGTTCTCAATGCCGAATGCTTAGATATTTGTAATTCGCAATTTTTACATCGCTAATAATAATGATAATCGTAATTAAAATAAATGGATAAATAGATTATCATAGCATCTTAATTGACCATCATGATGTACAATTAATTAAGTACATGTTTGATTTGAAAAGGTTTAAACCCGAGCTGAAATATACTAATGACGTTTTGTACGTATAGAAGAGACCAGAGAAGTCAGCCCAAGGGTTATGTTGACCACACGTCTATTTATTCATCTATTTATTGTAACAGCAATAAAGGAAAAGAAATTAGAATGTTTCTTTTAGAACATAGGTACTTCCCAAAGCTCTAAAAAGAATATTTTGCGATTCCCCTTTCCATTATCGTTCTCACATGAATGAAACGCATAGCTAACATGATCCTTGGGTCAACTTGATCTCATCTGTACGTGACATCAATTATAAATACGATGAGAATAATACAACGAAAGGATGATATTTTAATTGATTTTGGCACCGTAGGTGGAAACTTTCGGCGGTGAAGCGGTGCAATTAGTGAAATTGAGGAATCCTCTCGGACCTGGTGGCGAATACGTAGGTGCTTGGGCGAGAGGCGGCCTTGAATGGGACGAAGTGCCCGCGATGGAGAGGGAACGGTTAGCTGTGAGGAACATGGCTGAGGGAGAATTTTGGTAAGCCTGCGGCAAGTGATAATATATAACTAAAATTTTTTTTGAAATATATGATGTGCATTAATTTAAAAAAAAATTACAAGTCGTGAAAATTCGGGATTTAATATTGTCGAATAGACTTAACGACTAATATAGCGAGTCAGATCGTTCCCATTGAGCATGTGAACTGTCATCGAAAGTTCGATATTGCGTTTTGATTACACACTGTTGTTGCGGTTTCCACAGGATATCGTACTCTGATTTCGTTAAGACGTTTACTCATCTGGAAGTTGTGCACCTCGATGCCGAAACTTCGAGAGATGAACCGTCGTTGCACAGTAAACACACTTGGCAGATGAAATTGTACCAGGGAAGTTGGAGAAGGGGCGTTACCGCGGGAGGATGTCGAAATAATCAAGGTTCGATAACTTTACTTCTCGATTGCGTTCGCAACGGTTTATTTTCCTGTTATCATTAATTTCATAGCCAATTATTTCATCTACGATTCGAGGAAACAATTTCAGCTTTGCAAATATTGATCGCAAAAACACTCGATCTTCAGTTAATTCCAATACCATTTCAAAACTAAACGCGATTGAATCGCTTTACCTGAAACGATATACAATAACCGTGTTTTTCTTCACAGAAACTTTCCACATAAATCCACAGCTGCACCTGATTCTCAGCGAGATGGAAGAAGTGATCGTGTCGTTGAATCAGCACTCCATCATGGAGCCGAAAGTAAGAATCGTTTATTCATTCGAGTCGCATACGTGTCTCTTATCGAATTGGCTCATCGCACTTTCGTCGTTTTCCTTTTCCTTCTTTTTTCCAGGTGATAGGTTTCACGGCGTATACATTGCCGAAGAATAGCACCGAATCGATAAATAAGCAGTTCTTCAAGAAGAACAAGTCCCTAGTTAATTCGCAATACACAAATAGTCGGCAGGTGAGCCACAGGTGTCAGCTCGAGCAGGGTGGTTACCTGCTGGTACCTACGACCTTCGAGCCGACTCAAGAAACGAGTTTCACGTTACGAGTCTACAGCAGTAAGCCTCTAAAACTCAAGTAGGTATACGTACGCATTTACCGATGTCATATATGAGCGGCACAAAGGATCGTGTGGCCGCCTCCACGGTGCTGCGTTTAATGCATGCGGCATACATTAACTCACGCGAGGATAGGATATACGACTCGCCCACCTTCAACTGCACTTTTAACATCTTCTTTTGGCCATATTTCACAGGACGAGCAATCGTGTTCTAAAGCATACGCCCTTTCGTCGTCGACACAGCACAATATATCACAAGTTTTATCGCAACACGATTTGCTGCTTTTGTTCAAACATAATTCGTGACTGATGTGTATCGCTTTATTCCTCCATTGACCCTGACAGTAGCGCTTGCCGAACGTATTAGTGTAAATTTCATTCTACTTTACTTCCAACCACTCCCTCAAAATGAGAACCATGTTGAGAGTAAAACAAAAAAGAGAAAAACGTTTACAACTTACGATAAGTAATTTGATAAACTTTAAATTAATTTTCTTCGTAATCTGCGTCCAATATACGTATAAAATAAGCGTATTACTGTCAGGTTTAAACGTTTCCTTAGAGATTCAAAATGCATAAAATCATATTATCAGATTCTATATTTTCATATTATCCTGTTATCACATCCTATGTTATCTTATGTTATCCAATTCCCACACGTTTTCGTATGTTATTCCATATTATCCAATCCCAGTAAGTTAGTTTCGCGTTCGAGGAATGACGAGAGAATGTACGTTTGCTCATCAATGTTTCAGGTTGCTGGACACTCCGCCGTCGTTAATGAAATCGGCAATCGTGAAGGCGCCTCCTCTCGAAGGAAAAGGTTTCTCTCAATATGAAGCGGTGTTTCTACAGCTCGCCGACGAGCACAGAACCGTAAACGCTTTCGAGTTACAGGAGCTCTTAGAAGCCTGTTTACCGAATGGTGAGACGCGTTTCTCCGACATAAAATACGCAGTAGATCTCGAATCGAGTGCAAGACCCCCCTTCTGCCAAATGGTCCACAGTGTCAATCTAAGCGTTCTGTTTTTCTCTTTAATTTGCAGATTACATCAAAAGCTGCGCTTGTATGGAAGTCTGCCGACAAGTAGTGCTCACTATGGACGTATCCTTCGAATAAAAATTTCATTTCTCCGTCCCTACATCAATTTTACTTCACTATTCCTATTTAAGTTTCCTTCGCAATGTATGTACATCTAGATTTAGCTCAACCATTCCTACTTAGCTTCGTCCATCCTCATCTACTGAGTGTTTATTTAAAGACCTTTTAGAGTGTTTTTGATTTCTTCATTGACGAAGAATATTTTCCTTACATCTCCTGCGTCGATAAACAGAGCTCCGGGAGCGGTCGATTGAAGTTCAACGACTTCAAGGATCTCATGTGTAGTTTAAAGTACTGGCAAGCCGCATTTAAGAACCACACGAAGGAGAAGACGGGCATACTCAAGGCGGAGAGACTGCGAGACGCCCTGCTGGAAGTTGGTATGTAAAAGGAAACCGTAGTAACACGGCACCGAGCGAAGCGGGCATTCCATTTTGTAGTCTGACCGAAGCTCTTCTGTCTCAGGTTTCCAATTAAACACGGACGTACTGTCGATTTTGATTCTACGATACATGAGGAAAGACGGGACTCTCCGGTTCGGCGATTTCGTCTCGGCGATACTACATTTGAGCGACGCATTTGGTACGACTATCGCGTGAAATGATTCGTGTCTTTAAATCTTTTGAATACTCGCCGCGGAATTCCCGACATCAGAGGCGAGGAAATACATGCCAAATCCTTCTAAATAAAAATCCCTACACGTCGTAATAAAAAATATATCTAAAAAGTGACACTTACATAATCGATTGAGCACACCTCCAAAATACTCTGAACATTTCCCTTTTGTGCTCTGACAATCAATAAATAACTGTAAAACTAACGTGTGATACGCCTGTCTTTTTAATATTTATACTTTCTCATTATTTTGTCACGTTAATTTTACGGTTATTTTACAGTTATTGATTGTCAGAGCAAAAGAAGAATGTTCGAGATATTCCAGCGGTTAGTTTAATCGATTGCAAGTGTCATTTTTTAGATACATCTTTTTACTTTAATGTATCTTGTAGGAATTTTGGACATGCATTTCTAAATAAAAATGGCCGCGGCGAGAGAGAGAGAGAGAGAGAGAGAGAGAGAGAGTAGTTACAGAAGCTTCAAATAATTATAGTTAAATAACGTGAAAAACAAATGTTAATTATATATATTCTCAATTTATCCAGGTATATTCGAGAGCAAAGATCCTTTGCAAAACGGAACTATAAAGTTGAGTCTGTCAGAGGTGCGTTGATATCTTTACCAAAAATATCGATATTTGCTTTCGCAATTATGAGTTGGTAAGTGTGTGTGCTAAAGGATTGCTAAAAGAGTTTCTCTTTGCAGTGGCTGAGATCATCCTTGATGTGCTGAGGGAGCGTGAGTCAAACGCGAAATCCATACGTGTACCTTGAACCGTCTGTAAATAACATTCGTTTTTCTATCTCAACACTAGGCGTAAGCTCTAGCCATATTAACGATATTAGCGCGCGATCCCGCTCATCTTTCTCGCACTATGTAAAATAATGTCATTATTTCTTACATTTCCGCTCGGCTCATTATTCTCTTTGTGTAAAATTACGACTAAGGAGCTATGTATGATACGTTGTTTGTGTAAGCATATCGCACTGGATAATAAAATTAAGTATATTTTGCATAGTTTCTGCCTCTTCTATCGGATACGTTCTTAAGGGGATAATTTTACTAGCCGATTACCAGCTAAATGGCGCGCGTGCGCGTGGTTGTTTTAGTTCGGTGAAAATGTCAGTTGCGTTTCCCCAACGTATAATTAAATAGAAACGACGTGAGAACGCCTGTATTTAGCGATGCACTGGCATCCTCTTCAAGACTGTATATTGCCATATTATCAGAAACAGGAGTCTCGGCTGAACTCACATTGCCGAGAGTTTTTTCTTGAGACGAGTGTATAGATACGTACCGTAGGGGGGGTAGAGGGACCATCGCCGACGTTGCGGCAGAGCAATCAAGTCAATGGCGTCGCAGTCGTCCGTCTACAACAATTTGGATCGGAAGGGAATGAGAAGTGTGGCGGCGAGTTACAATAGAAACATTTATTTATAGAATTCGTTCGAGAGATACAACGGAACTTTTTGATATCCTATAATTTACCGCCTACTCCCGACTCGTCGGAGTGAGGCGTAATCCGCGCAGACTGATTGATTTCTCTCGCTTCGCACAGCGTGCCCTAGGCGGCTCGGATCTCGCTCGGATCGTGGCTTTCATCCGGCGCGGATTACGTAATAAGTGCACACGAGACACAGATAGGTGGACGGCGATATGTGAAAATTACCAGGAGCAAATCGACGCGAAAACACCATGTCCGTGGCTCACCGTCTCGGTCGTTCCAGGCAATCTCAAATGTCCCGTCGAAGACTTTAGATGATGATGCTTTGATCAAGGAGACGATATCGGGCGATAGATCGCACCCGGTATAATGCGTCGAAAAACACGTAACCGATCGTGTCAGTCCTCGTCGACACCTGTGTCACTGCGAGCAACGTTTGAGGAACCCCGAGCGTCGTCTTTTCGTGAAAAAGAGAGAGAGAGAGAGAGAGAGGGAGAGAGAGAGAGAGAGAGAAAGAGGGAGAAAGAGATCCGTGCAAAACTAGACTGGCTTCTGCTGTACAAAATACGTGTAGTTCTTCGTTACTTCGCGGCTTTGATATGTGCAAATTTGGGTTTAACGTTAGAAAATCTGCCGACTGATCGTTTGTCCACCGACGGCCTCGATAGTCTGAGATAATTGTATTTTTATCGGTTTCTTTTTGGCATCTTTATACTTCTCAGAGAACTATTGGGGAAATCATAACATTAATGCGTGTGACGTGCTTTGTCTCGCTTTAAACGTACATGTGTACGATCGATTGCACATTCGCGAAAGTATACGTTCTGAAAATGAGAGAAAAAAGAATTCCAGAATTTGTGATAAGTCTTTTGGCGAGTATTTTCGTGCACGCTGCTCGTAGAAACACGAGCGTCGATCGTGTCGTTTTTACATCCACTTTGAGACACTCATTCTTATAGAGAACGTGTTTTCGTTGGTGCAATGAAGGGAAGGAAGACGTTCAAAGGTAAGGTACAGAGCCGGGTTTCACAGTTTCACACACATATTACGATCGTTTCCAAGAGAGGAAGACATCGAAGTTCAGAAACAGTCTCGTGCATCGGCGCAATGACACTCTTTCTTCCTTCGCGCGCGGATATTGGATGGCGTTTCGCTGTTATATCATTTTTAGATATTTACATGACCGTGAAGGATTACACAGCGAGGTAACGAAGACGGCGGTCCTCGAGAGGCGGACGACCGGCCTCCTGTCGATGATCCGCTGGGCTCTTATCGAGTAGAAAAAGTCTGTCTGCATATTTATACGGATAATTTGCGGCGACGAGCGGACTATTCCGCGACTTGTGAACGTAAACTGCTACTGAACTGATCATATTTCTATCTGACGGAACCACGCCACGTGACTCCAAACAAGTGGCTGCTTTGTAATAAGCTCGGTATGTCGCGCTGAGAGGAAATGATCTCTGGACAACTTCCGGACGAGATCCTCTATTGTTCGACTATTTTAGTTACGCACGACTATCAGCGGATACGCGGCACAGAAATATTCGCATTTGAATTTCAGTTGATGAGCTTCTAATTGTTCCATCGGCGACACAATCCCGCGGCTGCTCCTCAATATAACATCGAATGCAAACGCTCTCGTGGGAGAGAAAGAGAGAGAGGTGAAACGCAAATCGATACGATTTCGCTCGTCGCCTTCGTGAAACGGGCTATCGAGGTAGGTTTATTTTGAGCCTTCGCAAACGTCGACGTTTAATTGAGCTTTCGCACGAGGTCCAGAGAACTTTCGCGAGCGTACAGGCCGCGGTAATTGAGATAATTGAATTTTCGCCTCCAGTCGGCGCCGACGACGACGGTGGCGGCGGCGGTGCTCGGCGTATCCGGTTTGTCTCCCAGCCGTGCCCGATGCGCCCGCGGAACGTAATGCTGTGCGGGTGTAAGATTAATTTGCATGTCGCCGGCCGCAGTGCGTACAGTCCGATCGATCAGACTTCCGTGACCCTTTGAACAGAATTAATATCCAGGGCGCAGTTGCCGATCGCATCCGGCGAATCTGGAAGGTACTCCTCGGACGGCGTAATTCCCGCTGTCCTCATGTCGTCCCGCACACGCTCTACCTGGTGCAACAGCATTAACGTTCATTATCACATCGATCTCGCAGTCTCTGGCGTGCCTATTATTTCTTTACACATTTATACATGTTTATAAATCTATATTTGTACATGCACGTGTTGCGTCCCTAAGCTGCGTATTTGTTTAACCCTGACAGTCACGGCATAGTCTAACAATTACTATCATCGACTCATCTGTATTCTGATCAGTTTTTCCTTCTAGTAAATTAATTTTTTCAGTAAATTTTAAAACTGATTTTGACCATTGGATTGACACATATATGTAGTAAATTAATTTATTAATAAATAATAGTATAATATATAATAATAAATATATAATAAAATAAATTATTTTTAGAATTAGAAATATATAATATATAATAGTAATTATAGTAATATATAATAGTAAATTAATTTTAGAGATAGAAATATATAATATATAATAGTAATTATAGTAATATATAATAGTAAATTAATTTTAGAGATAGAAATATATAATATATAATAGTAATTATAGTAATATATAATAGTAAATTAATTTTAGAGATAGAAATATATAATATATAATAGTAATTATAGTAATATATAATAGTAAATTAATTTTAGAGATAGAAATATATAATATATAATAGTAATTATAGTAATATATAATAGTAAATTAATTTTAGAGATAGAAATATATAATATATAATAGTAATTATAGTAATATATAATAGTAAATTAATTTTAGAGATAGAAATATATAATATATAATAGTAATTATAGTAATATATAATAGTAAATTAATTTTAGAGATAGAATCGATGTCAAGTTTTTAAGTCATTCTACAAATTATAATGAGTAAATAAAAATTAAAAGAACATGAAAATTATATACGAAAATCATGTCACAAGTGAGAAAAAAGACAATGATTGTAACATGATTGATAAATTTTAAGTTAACTTTTTGATATATATCCAACAAACGTACGGTGTTATTCAAGCATATGAAATGAGAGCGTGACTGTCAGGATTGATTTCCAGACAGCGCGAATGACTAAAAGATGTCTTAAAGACGTCCAAATGCCGTCTCAAAGAAACAGGGCGTTTTTTGAGCGTCTCTGAAACATCTTTTAGTAGATGGTGCAGTCTGATGGGTCATTCCGGTGTAAAGCCGAAAAAATTTCCGCGATAGACAACCCAACATTAGGGAGGGTCAGGAATGCAGAGTCGATATCGGATCAATATAAAAATTCGCATATAAAAAGGATTAACAAAATTCGCGATACGGCCAATACCACACCGGCCGACATTGGCGTACATTCGCGCGCATCGCGCGCGGAGAGCCGCAACGTAAATGAAGACAATATTTATCCCGGCGCGATATATCGCGCCACCCGCCGAGCAAATGTCAACACCGAAAGCTTTATTCATTTTCCGCAACTTCTCGGTTTGTTGTTTCACTTTTATTCGCGAGTTACAAGCTCGCCGTGTGGCGCTCGAGGGGAAACAACAGCCACGACGATCGTCGTAGTCGCGCGCGCGGAAATTTGTTATCGTCAGTTTCGCCTTTCACGCTCGTCAAGTATTTAAGGGACGCTATTTACGAGTGAGGAACGTTATACGGCAGTGTGTGCAGCCGGGTGTGCAGCGGCGCGAAGTAGCATGCATCGCCATGGCGGAGTTATGACAGTATTAAGGCACGTCGGAGCGCGGCACGGCGGCGTGTATGTACAACTGCGCCCCGAGACCTTAATGGACCCTAACCTGTGTGAGGACCCGCAGTAAATTCAAGCCGGCGACTTTCTTCAGGTCGAGCACGTTCCACTTGCCACTGCGGAGAAGTTCGGCGAATAGTTCGGGATACTTGGAGACGTCCTCGAGACCGCGGGGAGTTCTGTGAACGAGAAAGACGACGTTTTGCGAATAACTGATATTAGACGTTTCGTTTGGCGGTTTTTCCAACGGGGGAGGGAAATAACGCGAATGCCGAGAATTCATTTCCAGGCGACCGATTCAGCGTAGAGAAACCTTTGAGTTCTTCTTGGTAAACCTAGATGATGAAGCGCTGTCGCGCGTAAATTGCTTGGAAGTTGAAGTATAATTGAAGTATACGGGGTATCTGGACTTAATAATGCCTGAATCAATATATTAGGGAGAAAGGCAGAAGCCAATCAGAATTCACACTGATAGAAAAACAGTCAACTGTTTTTTGTTTTCTGCTTTTTTGTCATGGTGTAAATTCGTATCTTAAAATAAAAGTATATCAATATATTATATAAAAATTATGCAGCATTCACATACAAAAATTGATTTTTGGCCAGATTTTGCTTAGATTCCTGCACTGCGCGTCGTTAGAAAACAGTCAATCATCTTTCGAGACATGTCTACTTGGACCATCCACAAAACTCGTCCCATCGCATCACGTACGCCGATTGACCAATTTTCTCTCGTCAATATTTCGAAAATTTACGTGGTAATGTACAAAAAATGGTATAATGATTTTTTTATCTAGTTTGACGAGTTCTATATGTACATGACTGGTTCAACAGATACCCTGCCGTACGTTTTGCGATGATAGCTGAGTATTAATATATATTAATTGTTAATTAATTCCACTTTAATTTGTTTTATTTTCGACGTACTTATTAATGCCGTCGAAGTCCCCGCCGACTCCGATATGGTCCACGCCAATTAGGTTCCTAATGTAGTATATGTGCTCGGCCACGTCCGAAACGGTGGCTTGGGGCCCGCATTTCACGAAGTAATTGTAAAACGTGACCATCACCAGTCCGCCGTTATCAGCCTGGGAAAAGGAGAAAGCACGAATATGTTAAAAAAAAAGAAAAAAAATATATTAGTAATTCTGCGTTTCACGCGCGATCTACGAGCTCGAACGCTTTTCACAGCCGGAAATTTCGAGCCGGCTCGATGAAAGGTGTAACACGTAATTTTCCGTCGGTGCACCAGTCGGAAAACTGTGTCCTGACCGCACCTTTGCTTCGAAAACGAAACGTTCGTACTCCTCTTCCTCCCTCCCCCTCCTGGGTGGGGGAGGAGGCAGGGGCGCGACAGAGGGATCGATAGAATCGACGACGAGCGTCAGAAGGGAGACCTCGTTATCGCGGCACCGCATTCACTGCCGACTCGGTGCCGTTAATTTTCGACCTTGATAATTCGCCTCTTAACGAGCTGCAGCGAGCCGGGGCGTACCTTAATGGAGCACAAAACTCGACAATGGAAAGGAATCGCCGCCGGTAAATGTTTCGAGCTATCGGAACTCCAGCTGCCGCACCGGGATAATTATCTACCCGCAGAAAGGGAAGATCCGGTCGCGAGGAAGAGAGACGGTGACAGAAAGAGAGGAAGGAGAGAGAGAGAGAGAGAGAGACACACACAGGGAGAATAAGCAGATGGTGGAAACGGATTGGGTTTTTATCTTCGTCACTTCATGTTGTTTCTTGTATCGCCGATCGTCTATTCGCGCGGGTTTTACAAGCGTGAATTTCGATTCCAGTTAAGAGCGATTTTGACACAATTACCGACGCTGGAGGAGCATATTGTTGGCATGTACAAAGAGGAGCACTTTTATAGAGTTGGGCGTTTACGCATAAATTAAGACAATATCCTACATCTACGTATAGAAACAATGTAAACTACGTTTGAGATGTCATTTGTGTAGACAATGAGTAATCTATGGATGTAATCTAAAGAACGTATGGCTTGCTCGAAATTTAATTAAGAAAAGTTTATAATTTCATTTAACCTCTTCAGAATCCTGGTAAGAAAACTTACGAACGTTGTTTCCTAAACAAGTTGCAGCCCACAGAACTTTCTGGTTGCGTGTTCTTACCTTCTTTCTCTCTCAGAGTTGAATCTACTAATCTTTCATATAATGAAATCTCATGCAATTTATCTTCTCCAAACATTTCTAATTAATATCCAAAGTAGTTACGGTAATCGTATTACACTTTTTTGTAGGTTTTTAGTATAATTCATATTCTATAGAGTTTGCGTTGTTTATACGAAAAAGGACCGTGTATACATAACGTAGACAATATGTAAACAATTCGTGCGTATGTAATCTTGAAATATATATAAATCTTTTTATATATATTTTTATTTGTGTGGGTTTCTTGAAAATCGTATAAAAATAAAAAAATATTTGTACCGTACTGTCTTTCTTAATTTTTAAGCGAATGCGAGATCGAGGAAAATATAATTAAATAAACATATGTATACATATACATAAAAGGATTTCCATGAAGCTTTAACTTGTTATATATTTATCCTTCTCTCTTGCATCTTGCCGTCGCAACGTTTATCTTGGACTATATTCTAATATTTGCACGAGACTTATGTCGAGGGCGCGGAACTAAGTTAACAGATAATATGGAAATTTTTATGTACTCACCAGTTGTTTGAGAATGTCGTCGGGTACATTTCTGGAGGAATTACAAATGGCGAATGCCGAGGAGTGTGAAAAAATGAGCGGCGCTCTACTGACCCTTAAAGCATCCCTCATGGTCGCCCTCGCGGTGTGGCTGAGGTCTATCAGCATCCCGAGCCTATTCATTTCTTGGACTACCGCCTTACCGAATGCCGTCAGGCCCCCGCCTGGAAAATATATCGACTTATTTCAGCCTTTCTTCTTTTAATGGACTCTTACGTTAAAAGACTCGCGACACGTAAGTCTCATAAATCAGTTGAATTACAATTAATATGTATTATATTAATAAAGAAGACGACGGTGCTATCATCTATTATTAGTTTACTAAAGTCATTATTTTAGGATGCAAACAGATAAATTCTACGCGAATACGTCGATCAAAATTTGACCAATACTTTGCAATTAAGAAAAATATTGCAAATGGATCATATAAATATTGTGTAATTATATATCTCCATAGCACAAAAATATTACATCAACATTAAACTCAAGAAGGTTTTCATTATTGTTGAAGATAGTAACAATGTTGAATACAATGTTTTCATAATATGAAAATGTTATTTTTCGGGACTTTTAGTAAACCTTAAATCTAAACATTAATAGTAGATTTTTTTTGGTTAATTCAAGATAGCTTTATGGTTAAATTAATATTATTTCAATATTCATCAAAATTTAATTATTTTATCAGTTTAAGTTAACGTTTTAGTAGTATAAACATACTGCTCTTTGATAGAGGAAATTACTACACTGTAATTTCATGCCAATAATTTAATTTGCTAAGGTATTATACCAAAACATTTCAGTAATTATAACATAAACTTTGGTACTGTGTGAGATACATCTTGAAGTTTCGTACTGTGTGAGATACATCTTGAACTCGCTTAGTCTTTAAAGTCATGGATATTTATGGTACTAAATTAGTGGGTTTTAGCTCCCACGAAAACTTTTTGGAAGATGTCCATCGTAATTTGCGTCGAATTTACCTTCTTCGTCGTCGTCTTCCACCGACGAACTCTTCGCCCATGGTGTGTTGCAGGTGTGTGTCAGCGTGAGGTATCGCACACCCAGTTGATAGAGCGTTCTTAAAACGGCTAAACTACTTCCTAGACTATGTCCACCCTCCACTCCAATCAGGGATGCTATTCTGCCCCTGCCGTGGGCCTCCAGGATCTCTGGAATTCAGAAATGAACGAAATCGTTTCGATTGCGCCGAATTGTCTTCGAGAGTTCTCATTGGACGTCGTTGCTCATCCTCCGTATTCCAATCACCCATTCTGAGCGTCAAATGTGACTATTCGATTTTAAGCTCATGTGTAACTTCAATTTTCCGCTTGAAGTTAGAAGAGCGCGTTTAACGTTAAGTGTACGGTTGCAATACGGAGCATACGTCTTGCATTACGAAGTGGTCGAAAGTCTCACTCACCCCTCGCCGACGCAGCGAACTGCATGTGCTGAGAGTATTTTTCTATGAGCCTCTTAATGAGGTCCACCTGCTCCAAAGTCAGCTGGACCGCGTTGAGATGCTGAGACTCGCAGGGCACGTAAGCGGCCCAAAACTGCGAGGAGAGAGATTTAGTCGTTTATGCGGCATTTTTCAAACGACGCTTCGATAACGCTTGGGGGTGGTAAAAGGTGATGAGATTTCTCGAAAAAATTACATGCGGAGAGAACATTATAATTTCTTTTTATATACATTTTTTTCAGTTTTACTATGTTTCCAATAGTCAAAGAACATAGTAAATCTTGCTAGAGATATATAACAAATTTCATTACAAATAGTTAATTTTTTAATAGCTAAGGTGACCAAACGTCTCGCTTTTCCCGAAACAGTCTCTTTTTTAAATGTTATTCAGGACGCCAATTTATCCCGGATTTGGCTAAATTATTCTGGTTTAGAGAATTTTCAAAATCCTTCTGACAAAAAAGACCTCGAGAGAATTTACAGTTCTGGTAAATATAGCAGCTTTGCTTTTTCTTCTTAATTCTGAGCAACGATAGCAACAGTTTTATTTTAGTAACAGTTTTTATTTTTACTATATGCAACAGGTCTTTATTGTTGTTGAATTATTCTTCATGTATCTATAAATAAAATATTGTTTTATATATATATATATATAATTTTCAATTATTCTCCTTCCCTGGCTCCACACATTTATGAATGATTTGGGACTGGAAAATCTGGTCACTTTATTAATAATATATTTTAGTTTTTAAAGTGGAAATAGCATATATGAGATGAAAAGATAATCAATCACGACAGAATGTTAATCTATACTCCTCGGTTACAAAATTCTATAGTAATACTTCTTATAAAATTCTCTCCGTATACTCATGTATGAGAAATTGCTTTCATTATATTACAGCGAATAGGTGTGAAAGGAATCTAATTCGAGACTGTAACAGCGTGGAATCTTGACCTCGTGGTAAAGGGACATCGCTGGAACCCGCAATTTGATTTGTGAATGTGTGAGTGCGTGCATGTGAAAAAAATTGTTTTATCTTTGAAATTTCCACTCTCCGTGCGCAGTTTAATTTTTTCATTTTGTAGTAGAACGTCAGTTTTTTCTTCATTATTCCCGGTATGCTGGCGGAAGGAAGGAAGGAAGAAGAGAGATGTCCCGTGCGCTCTCTTATGCAATATTATCTTGAAAGCCCATTAGCGTGGTACTTAAGAAATGCAACGTAGTTTTTTATTTTCTTTTTCAGTTCTCGAAGTGAACGTGCAAGAAATATTTCCTCCGAGATCGCCATAATTTGTGCGTGCAAGCGTGACACGCGCTTAATGCTCGCATCATTCAAACCTAACGAGCTCTTGAGTGCTCGCATGCGACGATAATCGATGCATTCAATCCGTCACGCTCATAATATCGCCAACACCCGAAACCCGCTTCGTCGTCTAGTATGGTTGCCGGGATATGTTCCAGCATAAATTGCTATGACGTAGTAGCGTAACTCGCTCTCTGAATCGTGCGGATTAAGTTCCTTTGTGTTGGGCATCGAAAAATTCCCTTTTTTCGTTAGAGTGACCGAATTTTTCTCAGACTTTGGTTTCATGTTCTCGTCACTCAAGTATCGAATGTGGTTCATTGCAAACTTCACAAAATACTACTGAAAATACTGACTCTTTTCTACAAAGTTTTCGTCGTATTGCTTGTACAAAATTACAAATGTTTTTACACAATAAAAGTACATGCAGAAATAAATTGGAGCATTGCTCAACGTAACGATTGTTTACACGAGGCATCTTTTAGAAGTTTGTATCGCTTGGGTAACAATGGGTGCGTTCAGAAGACACAACGGTTACACAACGGTTGAGTAATTAGTCAACGTAATTGGTCTAAAGTTAGGGATCTAACAGTAAGGACCAATAATCACTGACCGCTCACTGATCAGCTATGTTTTCTGAACGCAACCAATGATCTTCGGGGAATTTCCCGAAGGCAAAATCAGGCTGTCAAGGGACTCATTATTAAGATAGGAGGATCGGAAGAGCCCCATATTGTGCTATTTTACTGGCTTGAATCGTAAATCACTTCCCCTTTTTCCTTTTCCCAAACTTATTTCCGTACATAAAATATTTCACTAATCTGACGTATGTATTCGCTGCGCGAGTGATAACAACTCGTGTTTCCTAACTAAGAGACGTTTCGCGAACGTTCGCTGAAGAAAGTCGATATTCGATACATACTCATCAAAAGCTACCCAATAAATGTTTTAAACTCGCCGTAAAAATCCACAGGCCTCATGATTACCTGACCGCCGACCATGCCCTGCCGCAGCCTGACCAGGTCGGTCTGACTCCAGGCGCTCTTGCTCCAGGGCGCGACTTGGCGCAGATCCTTGTCGAAGTCGAAGTCCGCCAGCTGATTGTGGACGAAGTTCCTGATGTTCCACGGTAGATCATTGTGGCCGTCGATCAAAGGCACCTCGGAAAGAACCTGTCGAACGGTTTCCAATCGCTCACGCGGCGACGTTAGGAGCGCGAGCTCCCCATCCGCTGGACGTGGCCCGACTTTGCCCACCCAGGTGCCGATCGAGAGTATGATCACGCTTGCTGTCCACACACCGCTCTGGCCGCCACTCTGCCACACAAGATAAGGTAATGGTGCTCGATTAATCTTCGCGACGTTGTTATGCGGAGGCTACTATTATTTAAGTATGAGTTACAATCGGACATGCCAGTGAAACAAGTCGAAATATGCAAACAGAATATGTCAATGTCGCGCACAAGTATGCAACTATAATGCATCAGCATTAATGTATCGTATGTCATACGTATCATATATCGTGCATCATGCATCATATGCGGAAATATATATCGACGTGCACGAGAAATTGTTTTACTCTCGTATAATTTTATTACATGTACACAGGGTGTTCAAAATAAAAGGTTCGACAGGATAGATAGTACTATCATTATAGTAGAAAATTAATCATTGGAAAATGTTAAGTAAACACAGGTCGAAAAAAATCAACCCTTTCAGAGTGACAAATGTTTCGTGGTTTATTGGTGACAAGTTATTTGTATACTTCCATTGATTACGCGCGGTGAATGAATGAACGAGTATCTTATTGTATTATTACTTTGACGAGAGCTGTTTACATTTCTATTCTATTTCTACGTAATAATATTTATGTTATCATCTTGCTTCAATACAGTTATTTGTCCTTGTTATCAGTGTTTGAGAGAGTAACAAGAATCCTCTCTATTGGCTTATTAAAAAAAATTCTAATCGGGAAATGGCAGACATGCATTTCATGTATGTATCTTGCCAATAGGAATACTCCAGCTGCATGATATCTCTCTGTGCGGAAAAGCATACAAATCGAAAAATTTTGTAATATAGAGATGTCAAACGTGTGTAGAAATGGATGAAGGATATGTGAAATATCTTTTATAAACATTAAAATAATAATAAGGTAATAATATGGTAAGATACCCGTCCTTCGTTCAAATTCACCACACATGATCAAAATATATAAAGAATTCGCGTTACTAAAACCGAAAATCATTTGAGATTCTGAGAGGATTCATTTTTCAATTTATGCTTACTACACTAGGAGAAAAAAGTGGTTGATCTAGCTGAAACTATAGTCACTTTTGATCTCACATATTGTTTAGTTGTTCTGACACAACAATGGTAGTAGTAACATGTGTGTAAAGTTATTAACATTATAGTAGAGTTGAATAAAACATGATTTTCTTGACCGTAATTTATAGTAATTATTTCTCTATGTTATTACAAGTATCAAACATTTTTTCTCAGCGTAAACTTTTTTACTCGGTATGACTGCTAATGTAGTAGTGATGAATAATAATGAATTCTACCTACCCGGTAAATTTTTTTTTTTAAACACTCTGTGTATTTTATATATAACAGTATAAGCTGTTATTACAGCTCCCTTGCGGATAAAGATTTGCCGCTGGATGCGAAAGGCGGCTTCCTCCTTAATGAGCAAAGTGTAGTACGCACAGAATACTCTGAGAGTCGGGATTGTGGAAGGGGGGCGCAATTAGTCGGATATACAATTGCACGCTCGCCGACAACTGCGGCAATACAGTGCGTTGATTATCCACGATAAAGAGGACTGCCTTATTTGTGAGGCAACAAGAAGCAGATGCTGGATATTTTTCAATATTTTCTGAAATATTGCACGGCAAATGCTTCGGGCGTCGTGTGAAAATGAGTTTTCGCTCGAGTCCCGGGATATCTACCGTGTAAAGCTAGCTCTGTTATCAGAGATCCCACGTCAAAGAGGCTTTTGCTCGGCAATTTGTCGAGTGAATTGCCTAGCGGGGAAAAACGAATGACTCGAATGACGGCCAAGAGCGAGATAATAAAGTACGTCCGCGATACTTTTTTTTTTTTTTTTTTCGGACGTATGCATTTAGCGCAGTACTCGAGGGTGCGACGCGTTATTCCCGCGGGATTATTTAGCGTAATGAGGGCAGAGAGTGAAAAGGAAGCGAGGGGGGATGCGACAAGAACGGCGACGAGGAAGACGCGGAAGATTCGTCTTTTGTCACGGCCGCACCGCCGGCTTGAAACCGAAGACCCCGGAAACAAATGGTGGATATTTTCGAGAAAGAGAAAGAGAGAGAGAGAGACGCTGCGCCCCGGCAGGGATTATAAATTATTAAGTCCCGCTCATCCGAGCGACGGCGCGCTCACGATGCCGTCGGATGTTTGCCTGTCGCCGAGATTTGCAATTCAAAGAACGAAACAGTGAATTATTTCTCGAGCAACGTATCAAAGCTCTCGCTGTTCACTTTTCGCGGCTCTTTCCCACCCTCTCTTCGCGAGCCCGCTTGCAAATACCGGCAAGAGAACCATCGTGCGCGATGGCCGAGGTTTAATCTTTGCCGGGTGTAATCCGCAGGGTGCATTCTCATACGTTATACGGGATTACGTGAAAGAACCGGCCAGATGAACCGTGTCCTTTCGACTCGGTACATAATTCCGTTTACAAAGTTGCTCATCAAGGGAGGGAAACTCTCTGAACCGCCATTGACAACAACCACAACGTCAACACTTCGGAAAGATGATTGATGGTTTTCTTCGGACGTTAATCGATTGTGAAAGAGACCCAGCCGTCCACGTTTGAGAATAGGCCGGCGTGCCTTCGCTTCGTCGAGGCTTATTATCGGAATAACAAAGCCCCCGAAATAAAAGTGGCAATAATCGCTCGACCGAACAAGACTCGTTAATCTCTGGCGAAGACGGCGATTCTTTTCTTCCTTTTTTCCCGCTTGTGCCGTTTGTATCTTAGAGTTTTGCGCGGTACGATCGGATCACCTGAGAGATCGATAGCGAGCACAACGGGAGAGGTTCAATCGGGCCGGAAAATGTTCGCTGCGAGAGTCGGCCTGGGATTCGTGTACAAGAGGGATTAGCTCGGCGCCGAGCGTGTACAAAAGAACGAGAATTACTTGAGTGCTGAGCAATGTCGTTTAAGTGTATCCACCAGCCGGGCCAAACGGCGATCCGCACTACTCGTTGACCGCCGGAATGTGGTCTGTTCATACGCGGCTGGCCAAAGACGCTGGCCGTTTTCCGCCGGCACGTCGTGTGAGAGAGAGAGAGAGAGAGAGAGAGAGAGAGAGAGAGAGA